GAGAGGAAAAAATCCAGTAGATTTCACAAAATAATATAAAATTTCATGATAATTATTGCATAATGTACTAAATATTTTACACATAGGGATTTTTATAGTCATCAAAATAGAAAAACTGCAATATTTTCCAATTATGATTGACATTAAACATACTTAAAATGTTATGTATTATGTTTACTCATAATTTCCAAAATTAATAGGTATTTAATTCATCAAAGATAGTTTAAATTAATTTAAAAAAGAGTTCTGAAAAAAAAAAATAAGCTGAGCATTTTAGAACAAAAAAAGTTCTGCATTGATTTCTGCTGACTGTTTCACTATGTATTAGTAATACTTATTTAATTATTCAAGCAAGTTTAAATAATATTTAAGTAAGAAAAAAACAATTGAACATCTTTTAGTTACACCCAGCAATCAAGATGGTTTCCTATTTCCTTGATATCCGTATTCAGACTTAAATAATTATTTGCCAGATTTTGATTTGTTTCTTCAACTTTCTCACATAAACATTAATTTGTGACATTAATTATTGATCTTTAAAGTGTCTTCTTTTTTTATCCCATTTTTATAAAGTACTCAAAAAATATATATTCAGTGTAATGATTAAGTAGCCCCCTATACATATATAATGTATAGCTACATTTCATAATTATTGTTAAAGCAGAAAGATAATATAGGAAAAAAAAATTACATTGGTTTGAGAAGAGTAATTTAGTCACATAGACTTGTAGAATAACATTTAGGTCAATAACAAACAAAAGTAACAGGCACTCAATGATGTTTTCTTATGAAAACTAAATAATGCACTTATTATTACAGTACTAAAACCTTAAAAATTAGATTTTATGGACATCAAATGTATATAAAATATTAAAAAACAACGTTTATAATTAACCATTATGGAAGAAATAATTTTAAAAATATGTTTTTAAACTTCAGGAAAAATTTAATAACCAAAAATATTGAATAAAAAAACCCCCCATAAAATGTGGGTCAGGATAAACCCTGAACATGGGTCGATTTAGAGACAGTAGCAGTTAATACTTATTTCATACTTTGAAGAAAGATGGGTTTAAATATAATATAAAATGCGAATGCTTAAAATTTGATCTTTTAACACTAAATATACTATTTTTTTTATAAATATTTAATACACATAAGTTTTCACAAATTCAAATGAATTAACTTGCATGCATTGTTTAAAATATTTTGGAAAACACACTTCAAAAATCTCAAAATTCTATTTTTGAATGGTGTAAGTTTTAGACAAAACTACAGTCAAGTTCCATCTACATACATGAGCCTTTTACAATTAGAAATTAAAAAAAAGTAATAAATTAAAGAAATATTTAATGTTTTTAAAAATTGGATTATCAATGTTAAAGGTAAAAGAATCTACTATTGTCGGAGACAACATAGCTGCCAATATCATAAAATGAAAACAATACATTTTTGTACAATAAAAAAAAGCTGCATATTTTTAATGATATTATCAACGATTAAAAAAATTGATAAAAATGTACACTGTTACAAAGAGACATTCTTTTAAAAAGTCTTCTTAAAGGGCAAATTTTCTCTTTAGCATTTTTTTCATTTCGGCAACAATTGAGAGATTTGAATTTTTCATGTGAATATGAAAAATTACATTGAAATTCAGGAATATTTTGAAAATCTCCGGAGAATCTGTAACTATTACATAGTATGAAATTACAAAGGTTTACAAGAATATCTATGCATTTTCTATTTGTATAACTATAAAACACTTCTTTAGTATACTTAACTATAAACAGATTTATTAAAATAAGCAAAATTTATTCTTACATAAGAAAAAATTTATTAAAAAGTTGTATAGTTTATGAAATGACAAGAAGGAATAAAAGTAATAAATATATAATAATATGCAATAAGGAGAAATAAAAGTTCTAAATTTATTTTTGCATAAGAATAAATTTATAAAAAAGATGTATAGTTTATGAAATGACAAGAAGGAATGAAAGGCACTTCTTTAATTATCCATAAAACTTCAAACCACAATTTCTGAATTTATTAGTTTTTAAAAACTTGTAGAAAACATTTTAATCAACATTAACTATCACAGTGATCTTTGTAATTTATAAGAATGCTAGTTTAATGATATTTACTATAACTAAATATCAATTTAAAGGTACAGCAGAATCCAGATTATTAGCAGATTTAGATAAAATGAAAAAATTTCTATGAACACAAAACCTCAATTAAAAAACTTTCTGCAAGCATTGATAAACTCTCATTACTTGTTTTATGCTTTTACCACCTCATTTTGACAAAATTCGTTTGAAAATCCTGTTTTTTTTTTCTTCAAAAATGTTTCATTTTAATAGAATTCTATATTGATTTATACTACAGGGATAAGAGGAAAAAACCAAAAAAAGCTGAAAATAGAAATCCAATAATGTTAGGAGCAAAAACATTTTTTACTTAATAAAAAAAATACCGGAAATTAGAACAAGATAAAAGTGTTATGTAGGAAGCATTTACCCACAGAATGTAATCAAGGTTTCAATAAAAATATCGAAGCGAGATTTTTTTCATTTGTTTAAATTGTGTGACAAACCTCGATATTTGATATAAAATCATGAAAATACGAAACACAATGTGCTATCTTAAATCACGTAAATAGGAATCACGATGTGTGATTTCAAACCATGTGAATGTAATTTTGAATCGCGTTTGCATTGATAGGAAAAGGCATAAAAAATTTTTTTTTTTTTTTTCTCGAGAGTTTTAAAAAACTTTTTGAAGAGGCAGGTTTTTTCTTTTTTAGTAATAGTAAAAAATTTACAAATTTCTCGCCAACGGCATTCATGTATATTATACAGTCTGATTATTAGACACACTCAGTTATCCTGATTTGCATCCGAGTAATTTATTTGTGACTTTATTTCAACTTAAATTAGCTATATTGAGATTTCCAAATACGAAATCATGATTTGTTAAATCTCATCAATATGACTCTTGATGCGCAATTTAAAAACATTTTAATTATGAATCTGGGCATTGAATTGTAAAGAAAGAATTAAGTCACACCAATCAGACAGATGGATTTTGGAATTATGCAAAAATGAACGCTAGAAAAGTTGTTTCAAACACCGTCAATCTTATTTTATAATGACCTCTATTTTGCTTCTTTTATTTATTTGTTTTTGCTAATGATCCACAAGATAAAAAGTTAATGTGGGATTCTATTTTTAACAATTTTACCTTTAATGTTTGAGAAAGTTTAACTAATAAAATAATCTCGAAATTTCTTTTTCCGGACACATATTTGGCTGGTCAATCAGTTTTATGAATATACAACACTGTAAAGAACACAGCATCCAGCTAAGTTAAAATATTTTTCACTAGCATGAGAAAGATATAAAATAAACAAACATTCAATTTCTAAATTAACTAGAAAAAAGGTATTTACAAGTTTTTAAACAATACGAAATAACAGTAAAATTTAAACTGATTAAACCATGTTCAAAATTTAAAACTGTATTCACAGTTTAAATTACAATGAGACATTTCAAGGTACACTTGATTTTTAAGGGCATCATTAATTGATGCAAATTACAAAAAACACAAACATTTTTATGAAAAGAAAATTTCTTACCACAAAAATAAAGATGTAGCCATATTAAAGACTAAAAATCAGATCATTTCAACAACATTTAAAAATATTTGTGATTCTTTGAAAAATACAGCTACTTGCTCAACCCTTTTAGGGGCAGTGGAATAAAAACTGTTCCACTTATCCTTGACAATACAAATTATTAAAATTCCAGTAATTCCTTTTTAATTGCAAGTTTTTATCAATCGCTCTAAATTTTGAAAAAATATTAAAATAAGTAGCTTACGTCATTATGGGAGTACATACGATAACCACAATTCTTATGGTACTCCTTGTTGAAAATTTTTGATTAAATTTTCTAGCCCCACAAAGGGTTAATATCAAAGCATGATGCAACTTAAATTTTGCAAATTAAACTAGCTAAAATTTTAAATAAATACAAAAAAATAAAAAATTTATCCTCAAACCCTGATATTTTTATTAGTAAGCACAACAAAGTGAAATTTTTTTTATCAATGCCGACTCATATACATTTTTTCACAATCATTATAAAGTATCAAGAGCACGGAAATGTTCATTACTACGACTTTTACAAATAGCACCAACAATCAATGTGTATATTGAGGTACAAACATTTTTCATGAGAAAACATTTCTTAACGTAAGTGATAAATATTTTTAAAAATCGTCAGTTGATAAAAAGTATAATTTGTGAACTTTTCAATAATGCAATTCTTTGTAAGTAAACAAACTTGACATTTCTACTTTTGTATGGAAAAGATAATGGTATATATTTTAACACTAACATTATAATTTTTTAAGAAAACAAGTATGTTTCACTACTTTGATTCTTTGCAAACATTGTCAAACAACTGGTATATTAAGGCACAAACACTCTTAATAAAAATAATTTCTTAACACATTTAGAAAAAGCTATGAAGAATACTGCTTTATACCATGTAAAATACAATTTCATATAAATTTGCGAACTTTTTAAAAATGTAACCTTTTTCAAACTGTTTTGTACAAATTTTCTAGTATAATTAAGTAATATCAAACTTTGCATTTGCTGTAACACACAGATTTATGAAGCTAAGACTTCATATCAATGGTAAGAGACATTCATTTATCTTTGAACCCCAAATATTTCACACAAACACGATTTAGATTTAAGGGGACACGGGACCTTTCAAATGAAAACTTATGAAAACTTGTTTTTTAATTTAATTTTACTATTATGAACATAATTTATTTATCTTTTAGCATATTTTAGGAAATAGGCCAAGTAAAAACAATTTTGGTCAAAATTTTTTTAAAAATTNGCTATAAAGAATACTGCTTTATACCATGTAAAATACAATTTCATATAAATTTGCGAACTTTTTAAAAATGTAACCTTTTTCAAACTGTTTTGTACAAATTTTCTAGTATAATTAAGTAATATCAAACTTTGCATTTGCTGTAACACACAGATTTATGAAGCTAAGACTTCATATCAATGGTAAGAGACATTCATTTATCTTTGAACCCCAAATATTTTACACTAACAGGATTTAGATTTAAGGCAGAAATTATTCCAGATTTATGAAGCTAAGACTTCAAATCAATGGTAAGAGGCATTGATTTATCTTCGAACCCCAATTCTTTTATACAAACATGATCACGCAATTTGGATTTAAGGCTGAAATTCTTTCCACAGTCGGCACATGAAAATGGTCTCTCACCAGTATGCAAGCGATAATGGCGACTCATATCTGTTTTTGCGCTGAACTTTCGCCCACACTTGTCACAAGAAAATGGCTTTTCTCCTGTGTGAACACGAACGTGGATTTTTAATTTATCTTTTCTATAGAACTCTTTTCCGCAATACTCACAGTTGAAATATTTTTCTCCAGTATGCAAGCGTGAATGTCGAACTAGATCATTCTTACGACTAAACTTTTTCCCACATTCGACACAAACAAATGGTTTTTCTCCACTATGAGAATGCGAGTGGCGTGACAGATCTTTTTTCTCGTAGAAACTCTTATCACAGAGGTCACAGTCAAAGTTTCTCTCACCTCGATGGGTCTTAGAGTGGCGTATCAACTCATTTTTTTCATTGAATCTTTTGGAACATAAGGCACATTTATGGGCTTGATACATCGTATGTCGACGCTGATGTTTTTTAAGACTCGACAGATAGCCAAACTTCCTTGTGCAGAACTCGCAACAAATAGTCTTTGTCCCTGAAAAGTTGCAAAGATGACGCAGGAGCTCAATTTCATCATTGAATTCTTCTCCACACTGCTCACACGCCGGGATTTCATCACCAACATGGATGGAAATGTGTTTTTGGAAGTTGACAATTTTATCCGTAACATAAGAGCAACGGTCGCATTTCAACTCAGGTAGCTTATCAGAACTATCATGGTTACTTATTTTGCCCCAAGAAAACAGTTGTGCAGAGCGGAATATCATGTTCCACACATGTTCTACAAAATAAAAATATATTAAATTACATAAACAGTATCGAAAAAATAAATGCTGATAAGTTTCTAGATATTTAACAACAAGAAAAGATTGCATCAATATCTAGTAAAAGAAATATGGTAAAATTAGAAAGTAAATTTTGCATAACTTACAAAAAATTATTAGAGGATAATTCTTAAAAGTAAAGTATAGCAATTCTTAAAAGTAAAAGTTTAAGTAAAGTAAATTCAGCCTTATTTTATTGAAAACTAAATGCTTCAAATTATAACAATAATAAATTTTATCAAATACATTTGCACAAAATTTTGATTTGTCGCTCAAAAAACAGAGATTCATAACTTTTATTTTCAGCATCTCAAACTTAATAACTCAATGCCCCTCCCCTCTCCCCTCCTAAAAAAATCATTGAATTTTTCTTTGTTGATTTTAAAACATTTCTTCTCAATTGATTTTTATTTTTAAAACAATAAATAGTTGCAATATTTAAAATGTAGCAAACGACAATATTAACAAAAAAAATAGTAGAAGTTTTAAAATTATTTGTCCAGCAAATATTTTTTTTAAAAATATTTTTTTAAGGGTTTCTCAATCGTTTTAAAATTAGGGTTTGTGGGTGCAGATTGAGGGTTTTAATCTCCTTAAAGGGGCATATATCTTGGAAAGGTTAATTAATATGAGAATTAACAAAAAAGCGGTCCTTTTATTTTTGAAAAACTTGAACACCTACAGGCTATGAACTATCTTTTTTAAGTAACATAATAAGAAATGTTAATACATTTCATGGATAATATATCATTTCACATTTTTCATATAGAGAATAGAAGGACTGTGTTATTTTACCTTATAGATAACAGTCTCCTAAAAATTAATCAAAGCAAAATAAATGTAAAAGAAAAGTTAATATGAAATAATAATTAGTGCTGTCTCAAAAACAAGGCAACTGACATTTTAATATTAGATCAAGCTCAATTCTTGAATCAGTCAAGTTTTTATATAATAATAAAAAAAAGAAGCATAAAACATTAATTTAAATAATATTTTAGGAATAGTAACTTTAGGAACATAAATTACTACAATAGCATTATTAACAAGAATAAAAATCAAAATAAGTAAGTATTAACTAAATAGTAACTAAACTATTCTAGCAAACAATAAAACAATGTATAAAAATTAAACTAATTAGGAATCACTATTTATAAAAATAAAAGAGAAATATGAAATATAGCTAACACAAAAATAAAATATAACAAAATATGAATTGCCATCACTAGGTATAATAAAAACAATTTTTGACAAGAGATAAAGATATTAAAATGCAAATTTATACACCATATCAGTTACTATATCTAATGTTAATGCATCAAACATATATTATTATATATATAAGCACAATTTTAAAGCGGTGACTAGCTATTTTTTATTAGCACAAACATCTGAAATAAGAAAAAAACTAGTTATTATTAAAATAAATAAAAATAATGTAACAGGTAAAATATAATAAAAAATAAATAAAGAAAACAAAAATATTGGAGCTTAGTAGTTNTAAAGCGGTGACTAGCTATTTTTTATTAGCACAAACATCTGAAATAAGAAAAAAACTAGTTATTATTAAAATAAATAAAAATAATGTAACAGGTAAAATATAATAAAAAATAAATAAATAAAACAAAAATATTGGAGCTTGGTAGTTACTTTATATACAATATATTTAATTTGCCCTAAGAAATTAAAATACAAAGCCTAGGAAAAAAACAAATAAAATAACAATTGAGAAATTATGAAAGAAGTATTTATGCATTTAATAATTAAATCTAATAAAAATTGAAACACACAAAATAAGTAGCTGAAATAAAGCAATAACTAATGATATACACATTAAAAAAAATGTAGTTAAAATATAATTTCCAACTCCATAACTCCAGAAAATACATATGATGAATAATACAACTCCAGAAAAGTTTATTAGTTTAAATAAATATCTGAAATAAAATTTTTATTTTAATTTTAAACAGGACATTATATCCCAGGACAATATATGTTAAAAATACTGTTAAATACTTAATGATACAGTAAATTAATAAAGACAAAAATGCAGTTAGTCCTTATTTTGATGCATAACAGATTAATAAATGAAAATACAGTAAAATATTATAGTAGAATCTTTCGATGAGACAATTCAGAAATAAAAGACAAATTTATAATTAACAATTAAACATCCTAAATTTCAAACTGAAAATATTAATTCACAAAAAATACATTCAAGTGTAAAAAAGCTAGATGAACAAAAAAAGTTAAAAGTCATCAAAATTGTAAGAAACTGGAATTAAGAAAAAAAAAAAAAAAAAANAAAAAAAAAAAAAAAAAAAAAAAAAAAAAAATCTGGATGTAATTAATAAATAGTCATAAATAAATACAATTATATAGATAAATTAAGTGACATATCAAAAACCAAAACTTAATTATTAATCATTCCAAAAATAGAATAAAACAAAAAGAAGAACCTGAAAAATAAATATATTATTTAAAACAAAATTATAAAAATGGTTTACCGTTCAAGAACAGTGCAGCGAATTTAGTGAGAGAAATTATACAGATGCAAAACAAATCCATACTGGTTAAAAAATCATGATGATAATTAAAATAAATTGTTTACTTTTAGGAAGTACTTCAACAATATTTAACAACACAATATACGCGCAAAAATCTCTGTAATCATGATAATTAGATAAATTTGTGCAACAAAATAAGTAACAGATAAAAATAAAATATTCTTCACTTTATTAACTAAAAATTGAACTACTCACTAAATTCTCAAAAAAGAACAGTAAATCATGCAAATTTAAAATATATATAACCATAACATTATTCATTAATTTAAACTGTGTACTTCATAATTAAGAAATGAAAATTTTAGTACTAGGAAAATAAATAGTGCTGCAGACAATATTCCCTGCAATGGTGCAATCATGGAAATAAAACATTAAAAGTCTCTTTTAGAGTTTAAAAGAAAGAAAGTTATTATAATTTTGTTGCAATGAATAATGTATTTCTTAAGAAATTCAATTTTCTCATAATGTAAAATGTTTTAATTTCTAAACCGTATATACATTTAGAGATTACAGTTTATAAACCTATTGAAACTAATACTGTTGCATTTGCATTATATACACTAGTGGTTTCCGACTAGTATCCAATGGTATCTTTTTTTATTACCAATGGAGCAAAGTATACTTACTAAAAATGTCAGTACATTTTTTAGAAGATCTATATGGGTTTTATGTAGTTTTGTTTGTGAATATATTCCACTTTAAAGTTTCCATGAAAGTTAATGCATCGACTTGTGTACCATTTCCCCTTAAAAACAAGCAAAATTACTTTAATTCATTAATTAAAAAGAAAGATTTCCTAATCTGTGAGATTTTGACTTGAAATTTACATTAATGTTTGAGAGTATATAATTGTACAAAATTGTAATTTTTAACACTATAATTTATCATGAAGCTTGATAGAAGCAGCCTTGCAAATACTTTTAAGAAAACAAAACTTGAAATGGACATTTGATTCATTAAGCGGACATCTGCTATTTAATTTCCCCCTGAACATTTTATAGGCTATTTTCCATCCTCATTTTGTAGTATTTTAAAGGTTTCTTAATTTTAATTATCTGAATATCTGTTATCAATAATTCAGGACATAAAAATGCAAACTTCTCATATAATTCATAATTAATGGAAATTTCTTGGATCGGTACCAAAGATAAAATAATCATCAAGTTTTGGCAATTTCTGGGCAGTGGCTCACAAGTAATTATGAAAAATTCTGTATTACGACCTGAGGCAGAATAATCCCCAAACCTTGGCAACCTTTGAGCTGTGTCCTCCCCAAGAAACAATCAATAAACATCAGTCAAGAGGACCAATTTGAGGGGTATAACACGCAGCTATCCTCAGACAAACCTTCTTGTCTTCTTCTTTTATTAAAATAACAAGTTTAAAATCTATTTGGAGCCTGGGCGTTTATGGTTGACATAACAGATCAGATACGGAAATATTTCCGAATATTGGATATGTTATATAGTAGCTCCCTATGTTAGATAGTAGACGAATTTTTTCGTAGCACTTGTAAATGTTAGCATATTAAACAAACATAAGAGAAAAATTAGAAATTGGCATTATCTCATTTAATCAAATTACAATAACGAAAAACGGCATAGCCTTAAAAGTAAGAAGGACGATTACTTATGACAATCTTTATTCATAATAATGAAACAAAAATACTGATTTTGTTTACTTATTTCATAAAACAACAAGGCATGCATTTATAGATATCACTTAATGAGCCTAATAATAATTTTACAAGGCATTTAGTTACAATAGAAAATGTCAAAAAACCATTCAGTAAACTTAAAATATAAACAATATAACATTTCAGTTAATAATAGTAATGACAACAAAATATAAAGTCGGTCCTCTCGATTCACGTAGTGTGGAAATTTTGTCTAAACATTTAACAATTCATTATATCCTTGCTAAAATTTAAACCACTGAAATAAAAAGAAATAAGTTAAAGTTAATGGAAAAATAATTATGAATAAAATATTATAATTTATATGGCAATCTTTTCGTGAACTGAGAAATTTTTTTTATAATAATAAGGGTTCACAAAAACAAATGACCTAACTTTTCCATTGCCAACTTGAAATAGCTCATAAAAGTAAATTAAAAAAAAAATCAGATTTTGTCAGTTATTAAAACAAGCATGCCTTTTAAAAAATTTTTTTTGTTGCAATTTAATTATTTCTTTATTTATACATTAAGTACTTTTATTTTAATGTTACATCTATCAAAATGTGGCATTAAAGACAGGCGCGTTGTTCAATATGGCAGCTGCTTGTTTTTTTTCTTGGAATTGTTGACGTTTGTGTGTTTGTGTACTAGATTCCTAAATTATAAGAAATAAATTTATCATATAAGCTCTAAAAAGAGTATCGTATTTTTTTTGAAATGTAATGGAACGTTTTTAATGTGGGCAAGCATTTTTACCATGCTTTGTTTTGTGTTAAATTTTTTTATATAGCTACATTAACAATAGATCACGATTTTTATTCCTGTTACTGCTTGCAAAGTTTTATATTTAGTGCTGTTAATGCGGTATAATGAACACTATTTAATGAGTTGTCTGATTATCCGTGATCATTATTATGGATATCTCTTGCGGAAATATTACTGAAATATAATTGAATTGCTCTTTTTATAAAATATTTGCAACTTCTTGATTGTGTATGATGTCTTGGTGTACGATTGCGTTCATGAACCTTAATTTATGAGAAATACTTTGATCTTAAATATTTGAAAGGAAAGTTATATAATTTTTAAAGCGTATATGAACATTCTCATTGGGGGGCAAGAATTTCTATGCTGTTGTATTTTGTGTTTAGCTACGTTTAAAATAGGTCACGATTTTTATTCCTGCTGTTGCGGGCAGAAGTTTTATGTCTAGTTCCTGCTGTTTATATATATGCGAAATATTTGGTATTTTATTTAAATATGTGATTATCCGTATTTCTTATGTTCATATTGCATAATTATGATTTATTGTTCACTGTCATGATATATAAAATATTTGCTAGCTCTCGATTTTGTAAATAAACATTTTAAAGCACCTTATTGTTAATATTAGTTTTATTTAATTAGTTTCTAATATTTCAAATAACCAGTGTATGGTTTCAATAAACTATGTGCATAGTTTTGTATGTGGTCATTATTTTTCTGGTCAAGCTTGGCCCTTTTGAAAGAGAAGTGGATAATAACAGTGGATAGAATAATGTGGCAGGGATATTTCCATTTTGGTATCTGTTTGAACCAATTACCATCGTCAGGCAATACAATAGTCTTTTATACTTGCAAAACTTTTTATAAAAATAATTAAAGATTTGCCCAAAAGTTATACCCTTTAAGTTGGTCCCTCTTTTATTCGTAGGGAGAATTCTGTTAAGTACCAAGAGGAATATCTTCCCATTGCGGCAATGTATGTAATTTCTATTTATGCATCACTTATGAGTTAAATGCATCACACATTCTTTTACAGTTTTAAATTTAAATGATATTGAAAAATACACTGTTACTACTATATCTTGTTGCCTATGAATTAGTCTATAATAGCCTTGTTAAATAATGATTGTTTTGATAACTTATCAACATTTATTTAAATTATTTTATGGGTTATTACTCTAATCTACATTTCTCTTTAAATAATTTTGATCAATTTTTTGAATTTTTTTCAGATTTAACTGTGTTACTATTACGTTTGATTACTATTATAGCAAAATTATCTGTTCTAAAATGTTTCTTGCATATTGATGTTTGCTAATAAGCTATTTTTGAAAGAATATTAAGTATATTTATCATTTTATGTTGAAACAATTTTCTGCAATTTGATTCAGATTATTTTAACGGTATTTTTGTTTTATTAGTAAAACTGTTGAAATTATTATTATTTTCAGATGTTGACATCCAAAGTGATTTGTTTTCTTCGCAAAGTATGGATGTACTTGAAGCTATCCAGCCAAACCAATTGATATTACCTCACGATGAAAACCTAGAGATGGTTCCATCTATGCAACTAGACTATAACGAAGAATATGTTTGTGAGTTTTGTCAAAAGTCTTTTAAGAGGAAATCCTATTTAGTGAGCCACATTCGGACACACACCGGTGATAAACCATTCAAGTGTAGGTTCTGTCCAAAAGCTTTTGCTTCTCAATCTAACTTAATGCGACATATTTGTATTCACACAGGTGAGAGACCATATGCTTGTAGAGCATGTAATCGTGGGTTTATAAGGAGAGATCAATTTATCTATCATGTTTGTAGAGCAAATCTTTAGAATTAATTTATGGTAATTAATGTAGAAACAATCAATGTCAGTGTTTATTATATAGAAATGTTATTAGCAAATAAATGATCAAAACTTTATTCCATAGAACTTTTAAAATCTATTTCATAAAACCAATTGTATTTTATATGAACATAAAGTATGTATACTGCTATTTTTAATATTTTGTTGCACAAGAATTACGGTTGAATTACTTTCTAGTCGCTTTTATAACTTGTACTCAATTTCAAATGTTTTTTTTTTTTTGCATGTTATTTTTTAAATTTTTTTTGCAATTTATAGTGAATTTTAATTTAAAAATAAATTATTTATTACGACTGTTTTATATATTTTTTCTGGTCTTAGTTACATTTCATTATTAAAACATTTGTTTTTTCCCCCCAGAAATTTAATTACTTTTTCATGAATGAAAATAATTTTGTTTGTATAATTGTATAGTATTGTAGTCTTAATCTTTTTTTTTTCTGACCCAAAAATATTAAAAAAATCTCTTTTTTGTGTGTGTGTGCATTACTCCTTGTTAAAAATGAAATGTAATGGTATTTTTATTTTAAAATAAATATCTGCAATAATTCTATGTTATTTTATTTATTTTCTGCAAAATCTTCATTTTTTTGTAATTGAACTTTTCTAATTCAAGTTTGACTAACTGTTCATTTTCTTAAGATTGGTTTCTCTTTTAATCTTGCTATCCAAAGTTCTCATGATGTGAAATTTGAACAATAGTTCAAAAAATTGTAAATGTAAAATTTTTCCATCAACTTATTCAAATCATCAATCTATTGCTTTAGGATCAAATTGTTTGAAATTTTTAATATCTAATAGTAAATTTTTTCTTTAATAAATTATTAAAATTCTTTATTCTGCATGTTTTTTTAATTATAAATAATTTTTTCTTTTCAACTTTTTGCTTATGGATGGTACAATAAGGTGGAAACTTAGTTAACATTTTTTTGAAATTCTTCATATATAATAACCAAATAATGAGTTAGTCTTAGTCTAGAATTTTTTTTAATTTCTAGTCACTAAATTAAACTCAATTCTAAATTCTATTAAATAAACTTATTTAAGTAACACTTTTTTGACGAAACAGAACTAGACTTCTGGTAGTTTCACAATCAGATACCCTATTGAGATTCAGGTTCTCTATCTCCTCCTTTCTTGTCTTTGACATGGTTTACCCCACCTTTCTATCAGCTTGCATTGAGCACATTGTTTAGATTTAGCTCAATTAAGATGTTTTTTTTCCCTCTTGTCATTAAATTCTACATTCAACTTAACTCTACATTGAAGAATCAAAGTAAAATTTAAACTGTTATCTGAAGTTGCTTGTAGCAATTTTTTCCCTTCCTTTAAAATGATTGTTATGTATTCAAAGAAAGAATTTTCTCTTTATGAGTTTTTTTTTTAAAGGAACTTTTATTTACAAAATAGCCACTGTATACTTATGAACAACAAATTAATTATGCATCTTAAGTAACCAATACAATTTAAAAGTAAAAATTTCAATTTTTGATGCTGACTATGTAGTTGGTTGTTTTTCAGTAAAATTAATTGTGTTTTGGTGCTGTATTTTAAAATTTTTTATATGTATAACTATTTTGCAATATTTCCATTTTTGATTATTGCTTGTTTGTAATTTTACTGCTGTTTTCTTTTTCTTAGGTGATCATCAAAGTGGATCATATTTTCTTTCAAATAATCCTTTATCCGAAAGAGTGAAGATATATATGGAACCTAAAAGGATTAGTGAAGTTCAACCATTAGTTAATCCATCTCAAAAGATAAATCAAGTTAATAGATCTCCTAGTTTTAAACAATCAGTAAACTCTGCTGTGCAATTACAATGCCCTTTTTGTCCGAAACACTTCATTTACGAAAGTAAACTTGCAAGGCATATTGTTGTTCATACTGGTGATCGTCCTTTTATGTGCCATTATTGTAGTAAGAGTTTTACCCAGAAAGCTCATTTGAAAACACATTTGATTGTTCATTTAAATACTACGTGAACTAAAGCATAGTTGGCGCTTGTTTTCCTGTGCATCTGTGATCCATAAAAATCAGATTATAGAATTAGATAATAAATAAAACAAAAAGAAACATTTGTTGTCTCAATTGTCATTGCGTCTTGTAATTGTGAATATTGTAGAACCAAATGTATAATCCAAACTTGCTTGAAAAACTGGTTATGATTAGAGACATTCATATTGTTGGAATAGATAAATTTGTCCTATTTTGTTTCTTATAATTTTATGGGTAAAATTGGCAATTGTCATTTGACACCTAAATAAAATGGTCATAACGGAATTTTAAAAGCATACATGACAGAATTGAGAAATAAGTGATTTTTTTTAAAGATCCAAAGCATTTTGACATAAAAGCTTTTCCAATATTTAATTCCTAATCTAATTCCCTGAAGCCTTTTAATTTCCAATATTTAATCATCTTTCATCAGAAATTTGGCCCCTATTGTTAGGTTTTCATTTTATGTAGTTGATGTGGTAATCAGAGTTAGTTAATGAGAGGAAGCCAATTAAATATAATTTAACACTGTTTTAGACAATTTAGGTCCATTTTGTGAGTAAAAGAAAAATTACTTTGTAGGAAAAGTTTTCTCTTTAAAGCCATTAAACTGCTTCAAAACTATTAAGTTTCCGTGGCTAATATTTTTTAATTTATTTTAATCACTAGTTTGCTTAATTTTTACCTACGATTGTTAATGTTAAATATTAACACTCCATAATTTTTGTGAGCATTATGTCAAAAAGTGACAGCTAAAACTGCTATAAATTCAACAAAATTCTAAAATTGAAGCTATATGATTCTAACTAACAGACTTTGCTCAAAAACAAAATTTTCTCATTTTTATCATCACTCTGGCTTAAAATAAAACATAAAAAATTTTCAAGTTAATAAATTATTTTGCAGCAAAATTTTGTTAAATTTTTTGTTGTTTGTTTGTTGTGTTACCAATATTTTGTTAACTAATTTTAAAGTGAATTTTAACTAATATTAATAAATTTTTGTAGAAAATATGAATCTGGAATTTTTGTGTTAGGGATCGTCAGCCTTGAAATAAAAATGGGGGAAAAAACTTATTTATTTATAATTTTTTTTGTTTGAAATTTTTTTTTTCTTACATTCAATGTTTATTAAAGCATCACTTTTGAATAGGATATCAATCTTAATATTTTTTTAAAAGGCTTCTAAATTTATGATGAAGCTTAGTGAAAAATTATTTTACATTTTATGATTTGCTACATGATAAACTAATTTATTTTCATTTTACTGTTTATTAAAGTAAGTTTTTGTTTGTATTTTATTATATTCTTGGATTTCTAAGCTATTCAAATTTACTTTATTTAATATTCTTTTGCCTGCATTTCCTGTTCAACCGTTTTGTTTATATGTATTCTTACCAAGCATGTTAGAGGACTAAATACTGGGGGTTCCTGGTTCAGCTGACCATCCAACTGGAACGTCTGTTCCTGAGCCCAAGGTCAAGAAAACTTAGAAGAGCCTAGTAGGCTTTGGCCCTCTATGGGCTGTCGTGCCACCGAGTTTTAGTTTTAAGGTTAATTTGAATTTTTGATTTCCTCAAAATGTACTTTGAAATCATTACTTTTTTGTTCCCATGCATGATGTATATACTTATATATATACATGTAATATGTATATATGCATGTATATACTATGTGTATGTATATCTATATATTTTTCAACAAATATGCTATATTTAGATGTTCTGTGCATTTTCCGTACTGTTTTTTTATTCTAAGTTTTTTATCCAATAGATTTTATTGTTCCTATAAATGAATTCAATTTTAATCAGTTTTCAGATTTACAGCTTGTTTTATTTTTTGAATTAAATCTTTAAAAAGGTTTCTCTTACTGAAAGTTTTAAGGTTTATTTTGAAATTAACTGCTACAAGTAGAGAAAGTATAAATAGCAGTTAAATAAATTAATAGTAATTGTAATATCTTGCACATACTTGTTGAGTTTTCTGTTTCAGTATTTTTCATGATGTTTTGGTGTTTCTATTTAATAAAAATGTTGATATGAAACTGAACCTTCTAAAAAAAAGTATTTTAATTTTATTGGAAATGTTATTACAAATAATCACTGTATTAAGTATTTTTTAGTTAATTTTTTAAATTCTTTAAATATTATTAAATTTAGTCTGTTCAATCTAATTGCAAAATTTTTTTGTAAAAAATAAATTACATGATTTATATGCAATGATTTATTTACAAATCATTATTTATGCATAATGAATAATATTGATGCTGTTACAGTTGGTATAAATAACATTTTTTATAAAAGAAATGAAGTACTTACTGCAATTGTAAAATATGTAAAATGAGTAATATACCATAAAAATAAAGATTTTTGCTTTGCAAATAATCAAAATCATATCTTCATTTTTAGTTTTCTTTTACTTATAGATAAGACATGTGTATAGTATTTGTCAATATTTTTTGTATATTTGATTGCTGTGTACTGTATTTAATATTTTGTAAATCTTTCAGGAAATTCTTTACCATTAAACTTTGATCCCAAAAAGTGGTTTTTGAAGTCTAGCTTCGTTTCTGAGGACCATCTTATGTTAAAAGAACAGATTACAAGTCCTGCCAATCCAGCACCTCCATCTCCATCAACTTGTTTTGAGTGTACTGTGTGCAATAAAAAATTTCCATTTGAAAGTTTATTGAAAAGGCACTCATATGTTCACACTGGTGAACGTCCATTCAAATGTGAATATTGCCACAAAGGATTTTCACAGAAAGCTAATTTAAAGAGCCATATGGTTTGCCATTTTCCTAAAGATGATTTGTTCTAGTAATTTTATGTTTATAAAAAATAGTAGTATTCTCAACCTTTAAATTATCATTTCTTAGCAGTCATCTTAATTTAAAGAACCATATGGTTTGCAATTATTCTAAAGATGAATAATTTTTTTGTTAATTCTGTGTTCATAAGGAAAGTTCCCTGTCTGTAAATTTTCATTAATTTATTAGATAAGTTAATAATTCATATCATTCAATCAATATCATTCAATCATATGGTTTGCCATTTTCCAAAAGACGATTTGTTCTAGTAATTTTATGTTTATAAGAAATAGTATTATTCTCAAACTTTAAATTATCATTTCTTAGCAGTCATCTTAATTTAAAGAACCATATGGTTTGCAATTATTCTAAAGATTAATAATTTTTTGGTTAATTCTGTCTTTCTAAGGAAAGTTCCCTGTCTTTAAATTTTCATTAATTTATTGGATAAATCAATAATTCATACCATTCAATCAATATTATTTAATTCATCTCATTCAATCATTATTATTTAATTTATCTTCATGGAGAAAGTAAACTATTTGCTTTATCATGTCATAATAAATGTTTGAAAATTAGTTTTCTGTTATAATTATTTCTTTTAATTCACTTAATAAATTGGAGGGGAGGAGGGAAGTGTTACTTCTTGTAAATATGGTTATGAATTACTTTCATACTGTTAAGAATTTCTTTTATGTTCATTTCAAGAGCCATTTTGTTTATAAGGCCAAAATTCATTTGTATGTTTGTTTGTTTCTGTGTAGGAAAAAAACACCTGCCTGTCTTTGTTTTGATTTAAAGTATAATGCTTTCATTAAAGAATTTACTCAATTCTGTTCCATGTTTAATGATGTGCTTTTTCTTTTTTATTTAATTGGGCTGATTTTTCTTTTCCGATTTGAAGTTTGAATATTATTTTTATATTAATATGTTCACTGCTAATTCTTTTCATCAAGGGGGGGGGAGGGTAATGTTGAAAAATGTGCTTTTATTCATGAAAGAAAAGTTCAACTTAATTGCCTGCTTATTTTGATATTAATTATCCTTTATTAATTATTTTTTAATTAAATAATCTATGCTTTAATCTTATTCTAAAAACCTATTATTCAGAAAAATCTATTTTCCTGACTTGTCAAAGTTTTGATGATTCTGGATACAGAACTTTCCACTGTATAAAAATTCTTGTATACCTTTTTAGTATCCTTTCACTTATGTATTTACACATGTAGTATTCATTGACATCTTTTGTATATTTGATTCCTATATATATGTTTAATATTTTGTACATCTTCTAGGAAATTCTTTACCGTTTGACTTTGATTCTAGAATGTGGTTTTCGAAGTCTAGTTTTATTTCTGAGGATCCTCTTAAGTTAGAAAAGCAGATAACAGTTAAAAATCCCTCTAAACAAGCACCTTCATCTCGACAAGCTTCTTTTGATTGTTCTGTGTGCAATAAAAAGTTTCTATTTGAAAGTGCATTGAAAAGGCACTCATATGTTCACACTGGAGAACGTCCATTCAAATGTGAACTTTGCAACAGAGGATTTTCTCAGAAAGCTAATTTACAGAGTCATATAATTTGTCATTTTCCTAAAGATAAGTTGTTCAAATAATTGTTGGTTAATTTTGTCAGTTTGTCTACTACCATGATAAAATATGTAAAATGAATATTACAATAAATAATGTTTGTTTTTCACAAAATCAAAACCTTATCCACATTTTTGTTTTATTTCGTTGATAGTAAAATTGTAAGTATGGGATTTGTTGATTATTATAGAAAGCCACATGGTTTGATAAAAAGTCACACTAAAAACGAGTACTTTTTGTTAATTGTATGTTCATAAAGGTTAGTTAAAGGTCAATCTTTAAGTTGTCATCTTCAAGCAGAAAAAGGAAAAATAAAGCTAAGTTTAATTAACTTTTTATTTAGTTAGTTTTTAAAATAATCTTTAGTTCTTAGCCTTGTTATATTGATGTCAGCTATTCTTTTCTGTAATTTATTTAGCATGAATTAAGAAAGCAAAAAATGCCTATAATGCCTTTCAACATTTCTTTTGAACTGAATTTATAGTAATAAAAGGAAGAGTAACTGAAATATTTCTTTAGCTATTGTCTGGAATTATGAGTTCCTGAACTAGCTCAGTCTTCCTCAGAATTAAATTCTATTTATAACCATTGAAGTATTCTAATACTAAATCAGTAGTAATTTTTATTTTCTGAAATTTTGTACAAGTTTACTTCGGAAATCAATAAAAAAAAAAAGATTTTTTTT